TTTGTTCTAGGAAACAGTTTTATTTATGGCATAACTGTGTCAACAACAGAATTTTTTAATCTGATTGGTTCTAAACTTCCCTTAGATATTGCTTAATTTGGCTGATTTAGCACCAGAACTGTCCTGCTTTGCCTGTCCATTTAGAAGCTCTATGTAATCAGACAGGTGAAGCTGGACAGTTTAACAGCCAATGAAAATCAAGCATCAATTGTTGCTCCCCTATAGGGTTTATCAACCTGAATTAGTCCAGTCAGCCATTCAATTTGACAAATTTTATTTGTTAAAAAAGGTTGGTGCACTTGGAGCCCTGTGCTCCATATTCTGATAGTTTGTGCAAAAGTTGTAAAAAAAAATGTAAACTGATGTTTAAGAAATTTGTACTTTAATGAATGTTCAAATCCTGACATTCTCGCTTTTATTGTTGACACAATTATTCCTTATTTTTTGTTAATTCATAGTGGAATTCCTGTCCTAATTCAGGGTATTCAGGATTGAGACGTTAAATGTTGAAAGCCACTAAGACCAGATTGCTCCATGGATAGTAACCCACTCAATCCTATTACCACAAGTGCACATATATTTTTTTCCCTTAAGTTTTCTAAGTAACAGGTAATAAGCATTTTATTTTTGTCAAGCTGTCCTTTATCAAAATCATATCATTCTATATTTTACTGAAATAAGTGCCACAGCACAGTACTGTTATGTCAATATTATTTGGAGTGACTTAATCGGGAGCAGGGTTTATTGGAGTAAACACCATACTCAGAACAGTTTTTAATAAATGTGATTGGTGGTGAAATGTTTGGTTTCATAGGATAATGTGGTTTTTGTTGTTGATCTTTTTGTTACCACCAGGAAGCCGAAGACTGTGGTGGTCCCCGTAAGGAATTCTTTTGGCTGGTGTTAATAGAAATTAAAAGTACCTATTTTGATCATGGATTGCGAGAACTGATGAGAGAAAATTACACCTTGATTGGGATTATTTTTCGTAGGTATCAAGCAAGTGAAATTTGCATGTAAATTTGTAAAATGTATGTGTGTATATATGGACAGAAAGCCCCAAATCAATTGATTAATGAGGATGTAATTCTTGCAATTAAAGGACTCAGTATCATCCACAATGGCAAGATACCTACTTTTATGAATGAAGAAATGATACAGAGCATCTTTAGCACAAGTGAACTTAGACCTTGTCTGGCAGAATTACGAGATGGATTAAGGAAAGTTGGTATTTATCAGGTAGGGACACAAAACCACACATGCTTTCAGCATTTTCAGGTGTCTTTCCTCATGTAACTTTACTTCTGCAGATTATTATTCTGCATGCTACAGTGTGACGTAGAGTGTTAATAGAAGACAACAAACATGACCCATAGAAAAGGGTTCTCACAAACATTTTTAAAACAATAGATCAAAATTGTAAAAGTGCTTTTGTTATTGTTATCAGCAAAACATAGACTATTCCTCATCAGACAGTCAATGATACAGTCATACCAAGGCTGAACTCTGGCAGTGTTGTTTCTGGGTGACTATAAAAAATCTTACTTTTCTTGTAGAAATTGTATGCTGCACACCCTCGATAGCACTGGTTAAGAGCATTGGTGCTCTCCTCTTCTTTTTTTTTGGAGCACAGCCTTGCATACTCTGTGTACATGAACATACTTGAGTATTTCGGCCTTGTAAAAGTTTCCTAACTTAAATGTGTTTTTTGGGCATCAATCAATTCTTTAGTATTTTTATCTCAACAGCTTGGATGCCAACTCCCCCTGTTTTTTGCACCTGTTGAGACCTAGCCAAGCAGCAACTCTGAATGTGAGAAAAGTCATTCATTTTTTGGAACTGGAATTCAGTGAAGAAGGATCAAACAACAGAAAATTTGAAAATTCTCAGTTTATGAAATACTTGAGAGAGGTTGGAAGTAAGTTTATTGGACATTCAATATGAACAATCTTTCACATTCACACATAATGCATCTTGCTAATAAAAATCTCTCCCTGTGTGGAGGCAACATATCTTTGCCTCAGACCTGTAACATAACTCAGGAATAGGAACAACTGCTTATATCTAAATATCTAAGATTAACAAGGAGCAAACTGGATCTGACAAAATATGACTTAAACCAGGTATTGAAAATTGTTTTTGACTATCAAGGATGGATTTATTATGTAAAGGCTATTGAACTTACTTGCACAGTATCTATTTGCAGTATTATAACAGATAGGTTTTTTGAAGCAAATATATTCAAATGATGTAACTAAAACAGTTCGTC